TGAAGATACCGCTACGGAGAGAGAGAGAGAGAGAGATGAGCGATTCAAGATTGGTTGTTACGTACCTGTGAAGTTGCTGTGCAGTCCACGAAGAAGAAAGACAGCGGTCATAGCCGCAGAGCCGGTACCACGGAGTGACGAAGTAGGAGGGAGAAGGACAGAGGGGGAGAGACCGAGCAGGGAGAGAAGCGGCCATAGCTAGGAGGTAAAGAGGAGGTTGACCAAAAAAAAAAAAAAAAAAAAAGAGAAAAGAGGAAGAAGAAGACAGAAGGGGAAAGGAGGCGAGGGAGGTAAGGAAGAAGAAGGGGATTGGTGAGGAAGAAGAGCCAGCAGCCATAGCTGACCGGGGAGTTGACCGAGAGGGTTGACCGGAGTTGACCGAGAGTCATAGCAGCGTTGACCGGGGTTGACCAAGGCGTTGACCAAGACTTTGACCAAGCTGGAGTTGGTAACATCTCGCCAAGCCCTTAGCCTACCCCTTGCCCTATGGATGTGCACATACCCCTTGGTACTTGCTGAGTACAGTCTGTTTGTCTATTCTTTCTGCATTGAGTTTCTTCTGTCCTAGGTCATAGAACTCTGTGGATGAAGGATAGGGCCTTGCTGCCAAACCTGCACGAGACTTAGTAGGACTAATCTCTACTTTGCTTTCTGGAGACCTGGGCATGAGCGGCGAGCGCTCGTTAAACAACTCGTCTAGCCCAATGACCGGTACTGTCCGGCAGGTCTGCTCAGTTTCAGTGTAGAGGGTCCGAACTCTGAGCTGCAGGCTGAAACGGAGGCCGTCTTTAAGTGTTGAGGGCCTGTTGGAACCACTCCCCTACCGGACCAAGTAAGGATGAGGATCTGTGTCTGACGACTCGACTGTCCCGGAGGTCAAACCCTCCCAAGGACCGGTACAGACCGGCGGGCTGCTCGGTGTGGCACAGTAGGCTGGAAAGGCTGAGTTGTGGGCTGAAAGCACAGGCAGAACCAATACGGGGGATCTCCTTAAATGCCTCCTGATCAGCCACTGGTTCGGTAGTGACAGCCATAGCATAAGTCTAGGCTAGAGACCATAGTTGACAGGGTCCTTGTCAGGGATTTTGTGGGTTCTTAGAGTGAGTCTATAGGTTTGTCAGTCAGGGGTTAGAGTCTACGTGGTGAGGAATGGAATCATCCTGATTGTGCACCTATCACCATGGTTGAGACCCGTACTGGGCTAGAGACTAACCCCTATAGCAAGGAGCAGCAAGAAAAGATGGCCGCCTTAGTCAGAGAGAACAAGGAGAGAAAAGAGCGCGAGAAGCAGGCGAAGCTAAAGGCTATCGCAGATGAGCAGGCAGCGAAGATGAAGAGGTTGGAGGAGGAGATGAAGA